ATGTGGGGTCTATATTCATAATATTGACACATTAGGTAAGTAGTTTAATTATTTCAGTTAATTTTAATAAAATTCGGGGCGAAAAATAGGCGCTTTTGCTGGTTGCACAGTAAGTTTAGTTCGAACTATCCTCGCCTGTCAGCTTTCGCTCCTTTCACTTCCCAGTGCTTCAGAATCAAAGTGATCGTGTTACCTTTTTTCCCGAGCACTATTTAACAGTTGGATTTCATGTCTATGGTTTGTTCAAGCAAAATATTGCCCACACCGTTTCAGATCATTTCGTAAGAAGTGCATACAGCGCATTAATTTTATTTCTAGGTGCAGAGTGTGACTCATATTGTTACCGTAAACGCTATCCCTACGTTTTGTTTGAGGTTAAGATACAAACACGTTTATACTTTGTTTAAGTGTGTATCTGTTATCTTTACTGCCTTACAGAGAGAGCTTTTCCATCCATTTCCTTGTATTGTCTGTATATATTAAAATTTTATTCTGTTCGCGAACTTAAGGACATCTGTGACTGTTTGAACGACGGACCGGACCATCTTCTGATTACTGCCCATAAAGTAACTTTGTGATTTATTTTGGATCCACAATTATTCTGTAATTGAAACGTAGATCACAACGTGTTTACCAGACGTTAAGAACCTAACACTTAAATGAAGTGCAAGTAACTGTATTCTTTATTTGGTTCCTTGCCGCTGATCTGTAGCTTGGACATATGACACTTCATCCAAAAATTGCAACGTCACTTGGCTCCATAGATTTATGGAACATTTTCAACAAACTTGAGTATTGAAATTATATTTTTAACCAATGCCTCAACATTACATTAAATGTTAAATACTTTCACAAAATCGAATATATTCCTTAATTAATATAACGAAGGACTATTGTGATATAGTAGCGAGAAATTGAAACTTGAGTTATATTTGCTTGAAAGTGTTACGTATCACAGTGTGAAGATATGACGTGCGGAAATGTGTAACTTAAGACAACAGACATATCATGTCTTTTGTCAATATTTTACCATATATAGGCGTATACTTGGAGTACAGTGTAGTAAGAGTGCAGATATATATGCTGTCTCGAAATGCAGGCCTACGTAACGTAAGACGACGCAATATAATTTTGCTGGTACTGGTCCCGACACTATTTTCACACTTTTTCTGGGAAGGCCTCGTCATAGGGAACGAGCTCGAATATGTTGGCAAGAATCGTGGACACCACCTTACTTATGGCCTCGCCGATACCCGGACCCAGTTCCTTCAGTAGCTCCCTCCAGTTCTCATTCAGGAACGTGTTCATATTATCACCTGAACAGAGAACAATAACGTGATGTAATGTTCTTATACGGGTTCTGCATGTGTATATTACTATCAAAGATAATTTAATGTAAAACCTAATGTAATTAAAGGTGCTGCATTCCACTTCCTTTTAAGCAAAGCACTGTCCATAACTCTGCCCACACCTGTCTTCCATACACCTGACAGGCGTCAGACCTCGCCAGCCAGCCATCATACACAGATGAGAAGGTAGTTCAGAGGTGATTGTCACTTCTGCCATATGGTACACTTCTGATGCTCTGTTTGCGTACACGTGTCAATAATAATAATATAATATATATTAAAAACAAAATGTATTTCGAAAATAGCAGCTGCACTGTGTACCTCAGGGACAAGGTTTGTCTCGGCTACACAGAAGTAAATACCCTATAAAGTGGTGAATAGATGGAATAATAATAATAATAATTGAAAGTCAGATTATAGCAGCACAAGACCAGGCGCTAAACACTAAATATTATGTAACCAAAATATTAAAAACAGATACAGAGAGCAAATGCAGATTATGCCAACAATTTGAGGAAACGACAGATCGCGTTGTGTCTGGATGCCCAGTGCTGGCAAAAGAGCAATGTATACAACGACATGATCGTGATCGTACTTAGCTGCATTTTAAAATATGCAGGAAAGCTGGAGTAAAGCTAGAAAAGAAGCATTGGTATGAACAAATTCCAAAGGCAGTTGAGACAAGTCAGGATAACCAGATATTATAATCCGAAACAAAAATGGGACTCGTCTCTTAATTGATATAGCAATACCAACTGACAGGAATGTAATTAAGAGGGAAGCGGAGAAGATATTGAAATACAAGGACCTTCTCATTGAAATACAGCGAATGTGGAAATTGAAAGCAAAAGTAATCCCAATAATTATAGGAGCAACTGGAACTGTCTCCAAGTCACTCAGAAAATATTTGGCCAACATTCCGGGCGAACACAATATCGGGGAACTTCAGAAAACTGCCAATTTAGGATCTTCATACATCATTCGAAAGACGCTCATATAAAATATATAGTCATATCTAACAATAAATTATATAACACATGTAGCACGTGTTAAAAACAATATGTATTCCGGAAATAGCTGCTGCACTATATACCTTAGGGAGAAGGTCTGTCTAGGGTACATGGAAGTACGTACCCCATAAAGTGGTGAATAGATGGAAAAATAATAATAATAATAATAAGGGGTTAAGGTAATGGGGAGAGGTAGTACCTTTCACCATCATAGTCTGACTATGCTGGACACTGGCCCTCACCCACCCAGGAGTAAGTGAAGCGCAATGCAGATGCTAGGCATCCAAGAGCCTCTCCTTGCTCAAGTCCGTCCGTGCGTGGTGAAGAGCCACATCCGACTAGAGGTGACCCTGTTATACGAGGCTGGTCTACAAAGTAAGTTTCCCTGGGGCCGTTTACAGAAACAAATCACAATTTCATGGAAATATTTATTGCAACAGATACAGCAAGTGTCCAGCTATTTTTCAACATATTCGCCACCGGAATTGAGACATTTGTCATACCGTGGGACCAACTTTTGAATCCCTGTGTCGTAGAAGTCTGCCGCCTGGGATTGGAACCACTGTGTGACAACCATCTCCGCCTCTCTGTCATTCTCAAAACGCTGACGCTGAC